TTTAAAAAAATAATTTACATCACCAATCTTCAAACTCAGTTATGACAAGTATCATTTAGATGAGCATGCAAAATTTCATTGATTTTAATTCAGAAGTTTCTGAGAAAACATGTCCCCATTGCACATACCATGCACCAAGTTGAAAAGCAAGAGCAATAACTCTGTTTAAAAATAATTTACGGCACCAATTTTCAAACTCATTTAAGATCATGACCAGTAATATCAGTGTGTAAAATTTAATTTCTCTACCTTAAACAGTTTATAAGAAAATTTGACCCCTTTGAGAATCGAACGGAAGGACTGGGGAACAAACTCTGTGCCTATACTTCGTTGCTGGTGATATTAAACAGTTAAAAAGTTCTTCACCAGTAATCTTTGCTGCAGGATAACGTTAGTGAAAGGAAACTAATTCCAAAGGCCAGTTAGATTTTGGACTTTTGAATTTCACTGCTGACCTACACAGAAAACCATCTACTTGGCATGATCCTCTACACTCCCCACATAAAATCACACATTTTGGCAAAATAGATTGGGCAACATTCATTTAAAAGCTATTATGACCTTTTGGAAAAAGAACAAAACACCTGCTTTAGAAAACACAAGAAAAATGACAGTCCTTTCGTCCTGTTTTTGTTAAAGCTAGTGTTGACATCTACAAGATGTGAGTAATGGTTGCCAGAGATATACAATTACAGCCACATAAGAGAAGCCTAGCATACACATCCAAGTACCAAGAACCATGCTGAGTTGATGCCAGCAAATTATGTTTCAATAGGAACTTCACCCAGCTGTGCAAAAACTAACCTGTCAATTATGTTGCTTGTCTAAACAGCAGTTTCAAATCGTTATCTTTCAACACCACAGAATAATAAAAGAAGAGTCCTGTCAATTGAGTTGCAAAACATGAAATGTAAGAAGGTTAAACACACTCCTGACTGATTTTCAGGCATAGCCACTACAAGCATTAAAGTGACAATGCTCTGGGTACTTTAAAACAATTTTTTAATTATAAATAATAACCTTGATCAATCTTGAGGCTTTTAAATCCTGGCACAACACTTGTGCCTGACAGTTTGGAGCAAGTGATTCTGACCACTGAAGTCAGAAAAGAAAGTGTTATGAGGCCATCAACATGGACATATTGACACACTAAATCAGCCAAGTCAGAACTGAAAGTTAATATTCCCAGATGGTTACCCAATAACATTTACTCCCTTAGCAGTCATTGTTTCATCTAGGAGTCATCTGCAAGGGTTGACTGAAAAGTTCTCAGCCTCACATTGAAAGACTTGACCTAAAGACATTAAAAGGATTTATTTTTCATCATAATCCCCTTCTAAATTGATACACTTTTAGCTACGATGTTGGAAGAATTTTGTAAAAGTCTTTCTCTTGGTTGTCTAAAAGGTTCTGCACAGATGCTATCATGTCTTATAATCCTCTAACAATGTCACTCCGTAAAGGAGTTATTCCCTCAGAATGCCCGGGGAAGCGGGCATTCCGTGAAATTTAACGTTTTATAAACTTGCCTCTTGATGTGAACAGAACTGTGTTTGATGATTAGTTAAAAGTCAGAAATTTGTTTTAGACATGAAAATTCCATGACGTGAATCGAACCTGCAACCTCACATATCGTGTTAAGTTTTGTAACCCACTGTTTTCCCACTGAGCTACTGGGGCAGGTGATGAGAAGTTGTTCAGATTATCATGTCATGACTCCATCTAGTCCAGGCTGCACATGTTTTTTCTCTCGCACGCTTTAAGTGAATTCCTTTTATACCGCGATACACTGTATTGTTTCACTATAAGGTATGTTGATGTTTTTTCTTGCATTTAGACAGTTCATAAGTAGGATATAAACTCTCCCCTTGGTCTTGATGGAAATTTCCCTCCTACCCGGGCTTACAATCTCCGTCAAGACTCAGGGGGAGTTTATATCCACAACATCACTTATATAAAAGGGTTCCGGCTAAAGCTCTCTCCACTTTTGGGAACAGATGGAGTTCTGATGGAACCAGATCAGGAGAATAAGGTGGGTGCTGCAGGAGTTCAAAGTCACCATCACGGATTGGAGCCATGGCAATGGCTGATTTGTGCATTCTCCTGATGAAAGAGCACACCTTTTCTCAGTTTTCCATGTCTCTTAGTCTTAATTTCATCTCCTAAATGCCTCAAAATTGCAGAATAATGTTCCATTTATAGTCTTGCCTTTCCCAAGATAGTCCACGATGATGATACCCTATGCATCCCAGAACATGGAGACCATAACCTATCCAGGTGATGGGACAGTCTTTGCCTCCTTTGGTGGTTGTGATGTTAAATGCTTCCACTGTTTTGATCAAGACTGGAACTGGTGAATCTAGGTTTCATCCATAGTCACAAATCGTTGCAAGAACCTTTCTGGATCAGCTTCAGAGGTAGATCATCACGGGATATGTTGTGCTTTGCAGATCCAAAATTTGCTTACTATGGAATATAATCTGACTTGTCTGACTTTTTTTCAGCGCTATACTCCCTAGGCATGAAAACGGATATCTTAACGGAGGTTACCGGTATAAAATAATGAGCTGCAGCCAGAATGACTTTTTGGTTGTTGTTGATTACCCTTACAAAAAAAAAACCCAGAAAAGATGTATCCGAGACCGCCCCGAGACCGTCCCGATGCATCTTTTATGGGATTTTAGCCAATTTTTATGGTCTCGGCTAGGTCCCTTGCTTGGAAGAGATGACATGATCATTATTATTTATTTTGAATTTTCTTTAAGGATAATACTAAAGCTCTTTATCTAAAACATTCACATGCAATGAATTAGAAATCCTATATATGTCAGCAAGGACATTAATAATTAAATACCCAACACAATTAAAGCTTCGAGGTATATTTCTATTAAATACAGTTAAAACAAATGCAGGAATTATCAGTATGCAATAATCAGAAAAAAGAAAGAAATGTACAATATATTCATAAATTCCAATCAGAAAGTAACAGTGTCCGTGTGCCATATAACAGTCTCCTCAGAAAAAGGTATATAAGAAAAGGCAACATAAAGTAATATTACTTGTAGACATAGTGGCTGATTTGTGGCTCAAGATATACATGACAGGGATCGAAATTAAATTTATTTCAAGTTTGCCAATGGGCACAATTATGCCAAATTAAGTGTGCCATTACATTTTTAGGGGTGCCAGGAAATACATGATTGGCTGTTTTAATGGTTATAATCATAATTCAAATACAAGTCAAGTGACTGTCATAGTGTTTATTCAAGTTAAATTATACTTAGAATGAATGATCAATCAGAAAATTCAAACACATCACTCAAGTTACTCATTGTCTTTGTACCTAGTATAAGTACTGCAATACCAGTTATAATAGTCTCAGGATTTATGAGCTTCTGTTCACAACTGGCATATTTTAATTGTAGCTGTTCTGTGTCCATTGGGTGTGGTCCCTCTTCATCTCTCCCCCCCCCAAAAAAACGAAAGTTATGTTTATCACATTATTTAAATGATGCATTTACAACTAAATTAAGTGTGTTGTAAATAAAAATAATCCAAGCTAACACATTCATAACGTCCAGATTAAGGACAGAGGAAACAAAAATTTGACGATTTTCAGAACTTAGATCTACCAAAGACGTATATATACGTCCGTGGATCTACCTATTTATTGTTGTTGTTGTTTTTCATATTTATTGTTTACGTAGATCTAGACTCTTATCGGAAAATTATTTTCAAAAGAATTATTAATAATATCTGTCATCATTTTCCCGATGACAGTGGCTGTCCACTCTGTAGCATGAAGAAATATCTCCGTTTTCGAAGCTTCGCATGAATAACACGTACCATGTGCCACACCATTATCTTCAACGTTTATTTTGTCATCTACACGACAGTCAACTCGCCTTGAGTATTTACATTACTATAACATGATATTTTATTGGTTTCTGGTGACGCTTTCTTGCCGAAATCTGCTATAAGATTCGTGAATCGTCAAATTGAGCACGTGACCTAATACAACCAATTACAGCAACGGTACTCGTGTATATCAGACTTTGACGAAAGGTTTTTGTTAAATCGTGTTGTTCTGAACGTTTTAAGCAGGAAATCGCGATCTATATTAAAAACATGAAACTTCGTGGATGTATCGTGCCAGGTTACGAGATTTTTCTTGCATATATTTGGCATTAAACATTGTGGAGAAATCGAGGCCATAAAAGCCGCGATGCCATTTGACTCGCATCACACGCGATCGCACGAAAAAATGGAAATGATAACTTATATCTAAGTTTGACAACTTTTAGACAGATAAATAATTTTGTTGATTTCATTTATTACTTTGTAAAATATATCTAAAGATTTGATTGACACGTTTTATTTTGCTCTTTGACTTGTTCGATGTGGACCCATTGTCAAAGTGTGTGTCGGAGAATTCTATTTTCAATAACATTGCGGGAAATAGATCTAGTGAATAATATTTTAATCTATCGATAAAAAATAATAATTTGAAAGAGAAGCAAAAACTGAAAAAGAGAGTCACCAAACCTTCATCGAGATAGTATCTACGCCGACTCTGAGTTCAGCAAGGATGACAACGTATATGTTCCTGAACAAACGGTAGGTACACTTTAGATCTGTTTGTGTTACATAAATATATTTTTAAAATATAGCCCTCTATATTGTCTCGTAAAATTTATGGAAAGCACCGATGTGGGACTGAGATAAAAAGTATTTCTTCAAAACAAATTATGTATCTGGTCACTGAAATGTGAAATATGATCGCAGACTGTAGTTATAAGTTTACAAAATTATTGAATTAATAGATAACAAATTATATATTTGTATTATGTTAAACTCTATTTATCTTAAGTTGTATTTGAAATTAAAACTTAGTTTTTTTTACAAACAAATGTCCATTGTTGTATGGTAATTAGTACGAAATCGCCGCCATTTTGTAACCTGCTGTTTTATAACGAAGATGTTGGTTGATATTTTTTTAAGAACTCGTAAGTAAGGGAAACTCATGTTTTGTAACGTTTGTTTGAAATAGATATATGTTCCCAGTAAATGTTGTGGTCTTATCGTTTTCCCCGTCGACATGCTCCATCGCCATCGCGGTATAGATCCTGAATTACGTTTTGGACTGGCACCAGGTTGTTGAAATTTTGGCAAAGTTGCCAGTGTCAACTTTGTTTTGTGACCAGCAATACCCGCCTTTTAGTTTTAGGTTATTAATGAATGCAACTTGATTTTTCAGCCCCCTTCCTTGTGGTGATTTTTGAAGACAAAAAAGGAAGGATACTTCATAGGAAGACGTGAACTCCTGCTGATGTGCCTGTTTCATGAAAAGGGATCAAGGAAAAGAAGCCAGTTGCTGCCTGGTGGCCAGCAACTTGGTGTTTTTACGAGGCTAGCGACACCGATGTGGTACTCGAAGGTCAGTATCTTTGTTAAGTGTCAGGTAAATTTCATTTCAGGTTAATGGAACAACTGTAACTAAATAAGTTATGAAACTAACTGGTACTTACAAAGTGCACACACAGACTTGTAAGGTAAAGGTTTAATTTTTATAATTTAATATCAGAATCATAGTAAGGAATCAATAGGTTTTACAATCTAAATATCCTTCCTGTGTTTAACTTTTGAGCCAATATGAGTACTTGTAAATGTCAAAACCATTTTTTACATTTTTCTAGAACACAATGACATTTGAATGTGTAATGCTTTGGTCAACTTACATGGACATATCAATATTAAGTGAATATCTAATCACAAGATGTTAACTAATTGACATCATTTAAAATCTAGTTTTGGTACAAGTGGTAAGTTTTGTAACTTTCAAGTCATCATACATTTGGACTGGAACCATTTCACCTGAGTGCAATTTTAATGCTCTTATCTTGTTTGCAATTTATTTTTACTGTATCATGAATTATGATGCTTTGATTTATCATCCAGTGTAACATGTTATTTTTTTCATCAGTTCTGAAACCGGCAAAGAAAAAACAACTGGAACTTTGTAGTGAGCAAGAAGATCTGCACGCTTAGGAATGCCTTCAAGTGAATGAGCCATGGTTTGTTTCTTTGACCATAACATCAGTAATTTTGTTGCCCCCAAAAAGTAATTTTTGTAATAGTTTTTAATGAGTCTCCTTGACGTCTGGGGGCGGTCGGGTAGCCTAGTGGTTAAAGCATTCGCTCGTCACGCCGAAGACCCGTGTTCGATTCCCGACATGGTTACAATGTGTGAAGCTCATATCTGGTTTCCCCCACCGTGATATTGCTGGAATATTGCTAAAAGTGGCGTAAAACCAAACTCACTCACTCCTTGAGGTCTGACATAAAGTAATTAGTTTATGGCACTGATTGGGGCTGTCCGGTAGCCTAGTGGTTAAAGATGGTTCGTCACGCCAAAGACCCGGGTTCAATTCCCGACATGGGTACATTGTGTGAAGCCCATTTCTGGTGTCCCCCGCCGTGATATTGCTGGAACATTGCGCAAAAGCGGCGTAAAACCATACTCACTCACTCATTATGTCACTGATATACAATAACATTTGATCCCATTTCAGCCTCTTGAAGGACAGCTTCCATGACGACCCCTGCCAGGACGAGGATGACTTCCACTTTCATATGATGACTTCCACTTTCATATGATGGCTACCATATAATGATATCTTCTGTTGATGATGTCCACCTCTGGCTACTTGTTATTGCTGTTATTACTCCAAATAAAGAGAATACTATACAACTTCGTTATCTCATTTTTGACAGTACAGGTTTGGCAAGGATGTTTCACAGACACTTCTGGGATGCTGTTGAAAGACTAGATTATGATGTAAGCACATCTTTTGTATTACTGAAAATGATGGAAAGGTAAAATGTCTCTGAAACATCTTTGTTATGGAGACTTCCTTAGAACTTTGCCGGGATGGTTCAAAGCATGTTAAATTACCCATGACAGGTTTGTGAAGACACTTCAGAGACTTCCTTGCAAGTGTTGCGGGGATGCTTCAGAAGCATCTTTGATTGCATAACACAAGTTTGTGGGGACTTATCAGGGACTTGCTCAGAAGGTTTCCCGGGATGGTTCAAAGCATATTTAATTACCCCTGATAGGTTATCGAAGATGCTTCGGAGACTTCCTTGCAAGTTTTGCTGGGATGCTTCAGAAACACCTTTGATTACCTAATAATAGTTTGTGGAGACTATTCGGGGACTTCCTAAGAAGGTTTCCCGGGATGGTTCAAAGCATATTTAATTACCCCTGATAGGTTTACGAAGATGCTTCGGAGACTTCCTTGCAAGTTTTGCTGGGATGCTTCAGAAACATCTTTGATTACCTAATAATAGTTTGTGGAGACTATTCGGGGACTTCCTTAGAAGGTTTCCCGGGATGGTTCAAAGCATATTTAATTACCCCTGATAGGTTTGAGAAGACGCTTCGGAGACTTCCTTGCAAGTGTTGTGGGGATGCATTAGAAACATCTTTGATTATGTCACACACGTTTGTGGAGAATAATCAGGGACTTCCTAAGTGGGTTTGCCGAGATGGTTCAAAGCATATTTAATTAGCCATATAAGGTTAATTCTGAGGAAGTATCGGAGACTACTTCAGTAGGTACTGTAAGGAAGTCTTGGATACTTCTCAGCAAGCTGCAAGTTGGAGTAGTTTTCCGAGATGGTGTGGAGACATTTGCCGGGAATATCTAGAGACTTCCTTAAGACCCTGCGGAGAAGGTAAAAATGTGCCTTGCGGGGAATGATTAAGGCGGTCTGGCCTTTTTTTTTTGTAAGGGTAGTGTATACACGAGATAAATTTGAGATAAAATATCACTAGACATGATGATTTACCATTTAGATTTACTGTATGCTAGGCATTGTTTTATATGCAAAGATTAAATTTACTGTGTGTAATTTAGAAGAGGAATTTCTTGCAAACTAAGCTGAAAATAGCAATTGGCTGTACACATAATTTATACTAATTTACCAGTCATTTGGTTAAAAAATATTCAATAATATTACTTAAAAGAATTTTAATGCAGTGATTGAAAGAATCATATCTGAAACTATTATTTATCAGAAATATTATATTCCCATATCGTGTTATATTAGTGGCAGCTTTTACTATATATATTTAAAATCATAATAACCAAAACCATTGCACTTTGGTACAGCTGATTGCTGCTGCCAGATATTTTTTACAATTTGTCCAGTCACCATTGAGGTTTCTCCTGGTCTTGCTATTTTGATTGTGATTACATTATGTTGACAAATAATAATTAAACAGTAACAAATACGTACATGACTTTCAACGAGTCACAATATGGTACTTAAGATATATGTATCCATTCTGTCAACTAAAGTTAATTTCAAGGCATCAACAGCAGTAATCTGATTTTAGTTGCTGTATGTTCAAATGAAATTTGTATGAACCCCTGTTCAGGGGGAGCATATTCACTCTCATCTGTAACGGTGAGTTTGAGTGATCTCCTGAGCACTTCACATGATTTCACAAAAAATAATGTAGATCTAAAATATATTGAATGAATTTTTGAATAAAATTAATAAAATAGATTACAAACATAAGTCCAGATACACAATGAACACTTTTTATAACCAGATCGTGTGATAACAGGATCAAATTGCCATTTTTTGCTCATGGTAATATGTCTTTGATTTGGAGGAAAACACCCATCAAAACTTATTGTGGTGTGTAGTATGTGTACTCCCCTCAATACAGCTGTTTCTTTGGTGGAAAGTTTCCAATGTACTCAGGAAAATATGGTATATGTTATGAAAGGGACACTTTATTGTTTTCTTTTATTCATACACGAATGTCCAACAATAACTGTCAAATATGAGGTGGGTGTGACCAAAATAAACCTGTTTGATTGGCAAACAGAAAACAATAAATATTCAGTTATTTTAAAAATTTACAGACAAATCAGTCCATTTATTGTATTATGATAACAAATTCCAAACATTTTGATGTGTAACCTCATCACCCAGAGACAGAAAATGATGGGATTAAAGCTCTCAATACAACTGTCGAACCCATTTGACAGGCACATAGTTGAAGGACACCCCCAAATGAAACTCGCTATAACTGTTTAACCAGTAGGCTTTGTGTATATTTTAGGTTATGTATGGTATACATATATGCACAGCTAACAAAATATCAAAACTTTCAGTAGTTTATTTACCTCAAAAAGAAAACATCTCGAGTTAAGAAAGTATCGACCAAATTATTTTATAACTACCAGAAAAAGCCATTGTTGACTTTTGGCACTTCACTTTGAGCGGCATGCAGTCCGATATTTTCTTTATCATTTTATCATTTTTCATATTTGATCATAATTTTTTGTTTGCTGAATAAAGGAAAACACAAGTTCCTTAATTTCTAAAAATTAGCAAATTTCAATGTAATTAATCATAAACAAAAAAAATCTGAATCCTAACATATATTCGATTGGATGGAACTTGTACGATCATGGCAACGGCGGTAAACAAACAACTCCACATGCACAGTGATCCCATAAGACTATTACAATAATTTTGTTACATCTAACTTCATTTTTTTAGAATTATTGACATGGATGTATAAACCTTTTTAAAAATATATCTAATTTTTATGGAGTTTGCAAATTTCGGTTGATTAACTTTCGGACACATTGACAAGCCGATAAACGTCAGTGACACGTTTGGGTGTGGCCTAACTCGCGATTGGTTTAGTTTAACAAAGTCAACAAACACTGCAAATAATGACAAATATTGGACGAAACCGAAAATCTGAACTGATATATATTCTAGGTAAACCATTCAATAGCAAAATAATGAAGTTTACGAAAAATAATCAAAATACTTACAATTTTAGCTATAACTTCTGAAACCAGAAGCATGTATCGCATGACACACATCGAAGCAAAATATGCGAAAGTTGGTAAGCTATCGTAAAAGAAAATCCAAAACAGATTCAAATTCAAAAGAAAATACATAATTCACTATTTTTGGTCAACTGTTTACTATTTATTTTTATGGATAGCAGTCTTCGCTCCTATTTGTTTCATATTTATTCGTGATTGCCACCAGTAAGTAACATCAAATTTGTAAGTCTAAATCCGAAACTGTAAAGAATTCCATGCTCAATGATTTGAAATTATTTTCTGAAAACGACTGCAGCCGCGAGCAATTTAACATATTGCTATGCCATAATAATAACATAATATTGTTATTGGTCTGTCATTGCAAGAAGGACAATTTAGAATATATAAGGATTGTTTTTAAAACGTTTACTCCCCCTCCCTAATCTTCGATCAGAACGGATGAAAGTAGGGCCTATGTGATTTTGTACCCAAAACAAAATTGTACCAAAAGTACTTGGTGATTTTCTACCCAAGAAAACTAACCTAAATCTGTATGATCATGTTTTTTTTTCATATTTATTGCAAACAATGAGGTGAACATTATGGTAAACTATTTCATCAAGTTCATAATATGACTAACCTAAATGTACGTGGTCCTTGAGTGAAGTCTCAACTCAAAACGATTGATTGTGATAGGAAAGTAATAAATTCTTGTCACTGCAGAAGAGGCCAGTAAATTGGTAAACCGTAAGTTAATTGTAGTGTTTTGAAAGGAAAGTGATAGTAAATTAACTTTTTCAAACAAAAAGTAATGTGTATCTTTGAAACTACAAAACTGTAACACAAAATTATTCTGGGTACAAAAGTACATACCCGTTTTGGTACAAACTCTCAAGAAAATTTACGTACAAAAAGCACATTTTAAATGGATTTCGTGGAACGATGGGATAAAAAAGTGGAATTCCTTTTCACATTTTAAAACAAGTATTTGTTTAGGTAACCAAACTCATGGCTCATGTTTTGTCCTAAAAGTAGAAAAAAAATCTGAAAAGTATGGACACCTCAGAAATGAGGGCTTTTAAACTTATAATTATATCTTGTTAGATGGTTTGACGTTTGTCTATCAAAGAAAACTCCTTATTAAATTAAAAAAAATAAAATTTATGACACTGTAAATTTCAAGCACTAAACATAAGATTATTCAAGGAGAGACAAATGTGTTTTTTTTATTGCAAATACTTTTGTTTTTGGCAATTCTTGTTTCATGATGGCAAGGGCACTTTTATACACACCAACTGAGGATTTTGTGACAAACAGCTGATGAAGTTGGATACTGTGATAGCATACAAGGGAAATACAGCCGTACATTTATGCGAAAATAAACCACTTATGGTGACATAAAGTCAGTAGGTGTGGCTAGCAGGATAAAATACATCTGACAAGGGTAATCATGTATACAGGGACATTTCTTTTCACTCCGCCCAGAAGGCTGAGACACGCAGAATGTGATAAGAACCTATACTGACTGTATATTCAGAAACCCATCAAATGATCAAAGATGTCAGATCCAAAGCTGGTGATGATCTGCATTTATTTTGAATTTTTGTATATCACATTGACTGATAGATGAAAACCTGTTGATCACATTTCACAATGGTTCATGTTCCTTTAGGGGACATGCATGAGCGTCACTGTCAAACACCTGAGCATACTGCAGCAAACCTGGAAAGTCCTGCCAGATTAATTACACATAATTTCATTCGTGAGAACCCTGAAAAAATACATAAGATAGGATATTTCCATGTACCTTTCTCCAACAGAACAGAACTGCAAGAATTGTCAATGTAAGTATATATGTGCCTTATTCCTTTTTCAAAAGATA